GTTTCCTGTGAGCGCCTGCAATTATTTTGGATTTATTGACATAGCAGCAACAAAGATACTTTACTTCAGCTCACCAAGCCCACGGTTTCATTCAGGGCTGTCCAAAGTGTGGCCTAGGGGCCATTTATGGCGCTTGACATGACCTTGTTCGGCCCTGGCCACAAAACAATAATGGTCAAAATTTGGCCAACAAAATAGGAAACAACTAACAGATGATCCTCCAGAAATTGGAAATTATTTTGCTTTTAATAAGAAACCAGTCTGAAGCTCTTCTTATGCTTTGGATCTTTAATTATAAATTGATTTCATAAAAATTGTGTTTGTTGAGCAGGTAAAATGGAACAAAATAAATCAGTCTGATGAATTGTAGTTTATATCCCACTCATTTAGATGCATCCTGTAATTTTGAGAAACTAAAAATCAAGCAGGAAAAAATGTTACTTCTAAAACCACTTTATTCATTCCTCCCCCCCCCCCCACTCATTTTTTATAAAAAATCAGATGAAATCATCAGCAGCAGATCAATGATGCTTATTAGTTTGGCTAAAAAAAGAAAGACTAATGAAATCTACTAACTAGAACTAATGCACAGTTTTCTCTTCTGAGAGGCTTTTATAATCTAACATAACGTAAGATCAACTAAATGCATCTAAATCAGAGACGCATGCCTTTTTAACCATGTTGACTTTGAATGATTGCCTTCTGTTTCCAGTGAGGCGAAATGCATTGAAGTTCAAACTCTGTCTCCAAACAAACTGTCTGTTAGGGAGGAAAGTTTAGGCAGCTGAAGAGATCCTGAAGGACAGAATGGTGGATGATTCTCAAAATGCTGTGACGGCGATCAATGATAAACATCTACCGTAATAAAATACGAAATGCCAGAATATAAGAGAATATAAAATAACCTGCATCAACTATACGAAAAACACAAAACATGTCTGCATAAATTGGAAAGTACTGTGGATTTTCTCTGAGTAGAGTTTATAAAAAAAATGTTTTTTATTTGTCGAAACTGCCACCATGTCATAAAAGTGTAATAATCTCTGAAAAGATCGATCTCCTCCACTTTGCCCCTGGGCTGCTGCTGCTGTTTGAAGAAAAGCAAAAACAGCCAATCAGAGCCAGGAGGAGGGTCTTAGCGCTGTCAATCATTCTCATGTACTCGCTACTAAATGTGGCAGAGAAAGACATCTATAGGAAAACTGTTTATCTGCCGTCATCAGCGGTCATGCTAACTAGCCTGAGCATTCGCAGGCTATGCTAGCTGCAGTGTAGCAAACAGCAGAGGATTAGGGAGAATGAGCCTGATTTGATTGACAGCGCTAAGACCCGCCTCCTGGCGCTGATTGGTTGTTTCTTGTTGTCACTGGGCAAACTGGGAAAAGGCAGAGACTCTGTTTTTTCACAGATTATCTTTCTCATAGCATGCTGCCACAACATGGTGACAGTTTTAACAAATAAAGCAACATATTTCTTATTAAAGTTACATACTGCAGCTTTCAGTGCCTCAAGGCTGCAATGGTTTGAGGCACAACTCCCTCAGCTATACGCAAAAAATTATTTTGATTCATTTTCTTTATGCAATTAAGACTCAGTCTTTCCATAGCAACATCATGAGACCAAAAAGTGATTTAAATGTTTGGTTCCTCACACGTGCATCAATCTTTCAAATAACACACACATATTTATATATTTTCTATTGGCATTTGCAGAGATACAAAAATTGTACAGAAGAGTAGCACTACTTCAACATATTTTTACTCAAAAGTTAAAAGTCGTTGTCCAAGAAATTACTCGAGTAAAAAAAAAAAAAAAAAAAAGTATCCAGTGAAAAGTTTATTCCAGCACCGAATAACTGATCAAATTATCAATAATTTAATTATTAAAAATTACATCATCAGATGGACCAAAATATAAAGTTAAATGTAAATTTTGGTGTTTTAAGGAACAAAAATTACAATTTATAATAACCAAAAATAAAAAAATCAGGCAAAATGAAATTTTTCCAAATCAGTTTCTTTCTTTCAATAAAAAACTGATGAAACTTTAACAAAATCTGCAGGTTTGTGTCTGTCTGGTGGATTTTTGGTTAAAACATGTTTTTCATTCAGTAAGAATACTTAATAAAATTACTCAAATAAAAAAGTACAGAGTAGTAAAAATACTCTTAAAAGTTTTTTTTCCCTTATAGTTACTCAAGTAAACGTAGTTACTACCAACTCTGTATTTGAGGAAACATTTCTTAAGAGGAAAATGCAACAGACTCATTTTTTTCCTATAAACTCTAAGAAAACTCTAAAATACTTACATCACTTCTTCCTTCAACATCCTGCTGCAGTTGGCGTTTCTAAATTAAGTGTCAAAGCAGCCGACGGCCTTGCAGGGTTAAAATAACAGCCGTCTGCTAGATAAAACCTCTTGTCGGGTATTTGTGGCTGCGTCTTGCTGAAAGGAGAGAAGGTGAGGAAAGAAAGACAAGCAGACACGTTTCTGGTCTCTCAGCGCTTGGCCAGCCAGCACCAAGAGAAGACCCTGCTTCTGCGAGGAGCTGCCTTTAGCACGTTTATTTACAATTCACAAAAAAACAGGCGTCTCTTCCAAACACTGTTCAAGCATTTCATAGTAAGTAAGTAAGTAAGTGTGTTCAACCGACAAACTACTTCCTGTCCTTTACTAGTTCAGTCTTTGGCTTTTCCAGGAGTTAAAACTCACCACACATACAGGCTTTCTGTCAAGGTGCAAAGCTCTGAGTATTTACAGCACATCGTACAAATTTAGATTTCTTTTCAAAATAAAAGTTTCAGGGGGGTTTAAATATCTTTTAATACATTTTCTACATCTTATCTCCAGTTCATGGCTTCAAAACAAGAACCTGTTGAGTTGTGCCTTGGCTGTATTGCGGCTAGCTGAGGCGTGTATCAGTAATTTCCTCATCCTGTAAGCGGTTTTGTTACTAAATCGGATAAAATACCTGCATGTAAGTGCTACTGTAGTGTAAGTACAAAATACTGATAAAAATAAAGACTCTCATCACCTTTTTTGTGGGATATACATAAATACAGTGTTTAAAATTCACTTAGGAAGAATGCAATGTGCCAGACCAAATGGATCCAGAAGACAGACAGAGAGAACGTTTTTCAAAGTCAGGTAAGAACGGGCCGGCGTATCGACAAGCATTAAATGATTAAACAGCATCATGTTTTAAACCAGGGGTCTGCAACCTGCGGCTCCGGACCCAGAAGTGGCCCTGTGGGCCATTCACAGCGGCTCTTAACTCCAGCTAATGTATTTAAATAAAGACACAAATGTAGCTTTTCAGAGTTTTTTTTTTTTGTTTTTTGGATGAAATAATTCACTAAATATCAAGAAAAGAAGGACTTCAAATCAATTCCTCCCTTTTTTTAAAGTAATGTATTGGTTTATAAAGTAGCATTTTGTTCTGTTTTCTCTTTTTCTGTAATGCTAATTAAAAGAAAAGTGAATAGACCCTTTTCACAGTGACGTCAGACAATGGCCGCCATAACTCAAAACTGAGCATCTTTACTTCCGGTGTGATTTTGCCTTGGGAACCAAGCTGAAAAATTCACGCACTCTCATAATCTTAAGGATATAATAAAAGGTAAGTTTAATAATAACAGCACTTAAGTGTTAGATGGCTGTTATTAATCATTGTAAATTCACCATTCTCTAACTGTGTATAAAATAAACAGCCTCCAATCGAAGAGTAAACCACCTAGCAGCAGCTTTAGCCACATTTAGGAAAAAATATACTCTCTGTCAGTGCTGTAACGTTACTTTAGAGGTTCACTTTCTGTGTTTTATAAAACAGTGTTTACGTGCTAGATAACCGTTATAAGTCATTGTCAATTTACCATTCTCCAACTGTATTCAAAGGAACCAGCCTCCGATCGGAAAGTAAACCAGCTAGCAGCAGCTTTAGCCACAGTTAGGAAACATATACACCGCCGCCTGTGATGTAACGTTTAGAGGTTCATTTTCTGTATTAATGGAAAATAAAGGACATAAAAATAACTTTCATCTGATTACTGGATTTGAAATACGAACTCGTTAGATTATTCGTGGTCCGATTAGAGGAAGGCATTACAAAGCAGCGGCGGCACCGGACATCTCTGCTTATAACAAACAAACCCCTATTTTATGGGATGAGTGGCAACTCCAGTCTATAATTTAAGAATCTGATCAAGATTAGAGCCTAAAACGTTATAGTTCAAAAACAGTAAAAAGTTCTGGTTAAGGAACAGTTATGTCACGTAGTTAGCTAGCTAACAAAATTCACTAATGCTAAGCTAACGGTTACGCAAAACAAAAATACTTGTAGCCTTTGTCTAATTTAGATTTTGTTGTCAGAGAAAATTGGTTTGCAAATCGTGATACATCTTCAAATCTTATTTTAGGCAAATGTTTTAGAGACTGTGTAAACTCCATACTCCGATGTTCTGTCTGATCAACATATGCTGTGATGAAATAGACAACTTTATCATTACCTACTATGTACACCGGAACTAAGGATACACAGGTTCGAGCCAAAACGGAAGTTGTGTGACGTCATGTGAAAAGGGTCTATTTAAGCTAGAAACTATGAATTTTTTCAGAATCAGGTTTAAAGTCTGAAATTGTGACTTCAATCTCAGCAGAGAGATATTAGATACAACAATATAGACTTAAATTATCAAGGAATTTTGGGTAGAATATTGTTACAGACAAAAAATAGATTTATTTACACTTTAAATGCAAAATGTATGTATTTTGTTTGAATGGTTTTGTTTTTGAGTGAATACTTAACAGATTACTAAACTAGTTGACAATTTGAGTCATTTCAGCCCTAATGAATGTATTATAAATTGATAAAATTACATTATTGAATCAGGAAAAAGCATTTATATCATGTTTTGTGTTAAAGTCGTGATACCATGAAACGAAGCGTCTCTCGCCAGCCCATTCCTTTTGCCAGTAATCATTTCTCTCTGTTGGCTCCACACTGATGTTTTCCCCGTTTTCATTTCTTTATTTTTTGCTCTGAACAGTTTGACTTCCAGCCACCTGCTAATAACATTCAGAAATGTGCAAAAACGGGGCAAACTCAAATGCTCTCCTAAAGCTTCTGTGTTTTCACAGGTCGTTTCTGTTGCAGCTGTGCAACACTGCGCCCTCTGGTGGTCCGAAAATAGCAGCACTTTTTACATCCTATAAATGTGCGTGATGTTTCCTGTTTTTCTTTAAAAAGCCAGTTAGGAGATGCTCATCAAGCTGAACGCTAGAATAAAACACAGCTGGAGTCACAACTCCCTGCTTCCTCCAGGCGGCGAGTTGAACTCAGAGCTCGTAAAGGTCAACTTGCCTTCCCTGGATTTTCATATGAACTACACATTATTTCTGTAAACAAAATAAAGTTGACTTTTTTTGCGCCAAGAACCTTAAAACCCGCCTTCTTTTGTGAACCGAATGTGATGCTGAGGATTCATTAGCAACACCAGATGTGGTTCATTTGTCTCCGTCCCGATCGCCACGCAGCCTCTTTTCGTGCTGCCGCTTCGTGATGACGTACTTGAAGAACTCGTAGACCGACCAGCTGATGGCGGTGGAAGGCATCTGGTAGATGACTCTGGCCTGGACGCCTTTAAAGAACGCCGGCACGCCTCCGGTCCGGTACACAGTCCGGAACGCCTCGCTCAGCCCGGAGATGTAGCGGCTCTCCGGACCTGAGGCCGCCGCCGCTGTCGCCGCTCCAGCTGGGATCACATGGACGGCCTGAGCTTCCTGCGTGTTGAGCAGCGTCTTACAGACGTCGAGGGGAGTGGTGGTGGCGGCGGCCAGGGCGCCGGCGAGAGCGCCCGACACGACGTGCGAGGACGGGTTGTACTGTCTGTGGGGGTTCAGCAGCTCCTGCAGATACTCGTAGGTCATGAAGTGCAGCGCCTGGAACGGCACGTTCATGGTCAGCTGCGTGGTGTAGCTGCGGTAGAAGGCCGCCGGACCCTCCTGCCTCAGCAGAGAGCCCATGCAGTCCAGAACGCCGCGGTAGGGCGAGTTGAACATCTGCATCCGCTGCTTTACAACTGAGGAGGGATGTTGGAAATGACAAGATTTATAAGATTCACCGGGCCAGGAAGGAAAGAGAAACACAGCCGCTCATCACAAACACAAGCTTTAACACATGTTTGTCTGATTTTATGTGAGACGGAAAAATACACGGAATGAAAGCAACTGACTTACAATTAAAACAAACTATGGGTGCACCGATTCCAGTTTTCTGGCCTGGCCGATCTTTACAGAGCATGACCTGCCGATTTACCAGTTTTTGTCTGAAATGTTGCTGAACATAGTAATAACGTTACCGAGTTGGATACAGTGGGATGAATATTGTTAACTGCTAAAGTGCAGACATGACCTGGCAGGCTGCTCTGTCAGTCAAACTGCTCTAATAGGAAAGCAGAAGAAGAAAGCGTTTGATTGAATTTGCTGAGGTAGTTAAGATCAGCTTCACATGTAAATATCAGCCGATCATTGATTTCCCAAAATTAAGGAAATCAGTTCGCCAAAACTAATACCGTCTGCTTAGACCTTCTTTTACTGTTTTAGTTTGGTGCTGATCTTAAGGATGGCCAGCAGAGGGCTCCACTGGTCATTCTTAGAGTCAGCTGATACAGAAACAAAGATGGCGGTGCAATTCCAGAACAGAAAAGAGAAACAGTTCAAACAATAGAATTAGGGCCATTGTAGGTAGAAAAAAATAACTTAAATATGGGAAATTTAAGCCAAAATTTCTCAGTAATTTTCTAGAAGAAACATAGAAATATTAAAAGTTTGGAAAGCTGAAAAGACACTTTGAAGTAGTATGTGTGTCATGTAAACAAAAAGAGGCTGAAATGGGTTTTTACCTTCAGCTGGGTTCATGATGGCATCATGTAGAACAGTAGCTGCACAACCTGCTACACCTACAAATCATGAACAAATGAGATGAATCTCCCTCCACCGTCTGTCCACCGTTCCATCGCTAATATAGAGCTTGAACTGGGAATAATATCTGAAATTAAAGTAAAAATGTAACTTTCTGGATAATCTCACCGTTTGCAAAGTGGCTGTTTGTGCCCGGATGAACTGCGTCGCTGAGTGAAAACTTTATTTTCTCATAGCAAGCGAAGTAAAGAGCGTGTGCAGGTCCGGCCCCCACGGCCAGCACGTTGACCCCCCTGATGGGGCGCCACAGCCCCTCTGTCCGTACGATCTGCTGCAGGGCGTCCATCACGTTCCGGTAGCGCGCCCCCGGCTCCGGGTGCAAACTCTGCATACGGGTCTGCAGAAAACACAACAAACGAATACAGATTAGCTGCTGCTGCAGGGAAACTACTGCTCTTTTTAAATGTACTTACAGATCCGTTCAATAAGTAGTAGAATATTATTGGAAAGTCCAGTCATTTCAGAAACTTTATCAATAGATTGAGGTTTTCCAGCCTTTATTTCTGTTAATTATGTTTTTCTGCTACAGTTAAAGAAAACATGACATTTAAAATTAGGTTACAGAAAAAAAAAAAAAAACAAAACAAAACACCATCTTTAACGTTATTTTCAAAAGGTGCTTTTAATCTAAGAAATGAGCCTCACATGTTCAATTTATTGAATGACTGTATTCTGGTGTTTTTTTTGTCAAACCAATTTAGGGATTAATAATGTGTACAATATTTCAGAAGCACTGATCTTTTTACTCTTAAAACAGAAACCAAGACAAAAAAACAGGGTCAAAGTGCCAACCCACCTACAAAATACCCAGAATAATTTCACTCTATTTTAATTCAATTAATAAATACAGAGTGACATAATCATTATGCACATTTATTGTGAAATGTTATAATTGAATTCTATCATTTGAAGGGTATATTTAAATACTTAACAGCATATTTATTAGAACATTAATTTCATGGTACATTCACATTTTATTACTTTAAGAATATTATTTATTTAGGTTTATTTTTTCCTATTTTGGCCCTAAATAAACATCACAATGAATCTGAAAATCAGCCAAACTGCTGTACATTATGTCTGTACATCTATGTTCATACCAACACTGCTTTAAAATGCTGTTTAATAAAGAATCTGATTTTGGCTCCTATAATGACAGAGTTTGAATCCTGACTTGTACAATGGCGCCCCCTGCTGGCCTGAATTACACATCTCTTTATACAAGAAGGTTTGAAGCAATTGGGATTGTTCAGATTTTGACTGAATTTTTAATCAGTAAAAAAAACTTTAATTGAACTTTTATTAACTTTTCTTTTGCGTCTACCTTTATTTCTGCTTCTTCGTTTTGATTCTTACATGAACTTTAGGGTTAGTTGAGCTGGACCCCCCAAAGAAGTCACGTTCTGACGTTTGTGGTCTAAAAGCACAAAAGGTTAAAGTCCCGACCTAAAAACATACTGAGCTGTATCATCATGTGTTGAAACATTTTCGAAACGTCATCGCTAATCAGCGACTTCTGCTATCAAACCAGTGACCTGTGAGTTACTTCTGATTCACAGGTAGCAACCTGAGCAGGTCAAAGCGCTCTGGTTAGCGTTTATATTCCAGGCTGAAATATGAAATATGCTGCATTGTGATGGTGGATGTACACGTCAAACAGTCCGTGTGATTGTTAAAAATCAACTTATCATTTCTTTGCAAGAACAGAATCCAACCTGGATTGCAGGAGACTCTTCTGTCTACACCCTGCAGCGACTATCAGAGCAGCCGTTCAATTACGTAAAAGCAACCTGGAGATACGACCAGCAGGTGCATCAGTAAAGGAAGCGAAGTGTTCAGACTGACCGGTTCCTGCTTAATCGTTGCAGCAGAAATACTACAAATGTTCTTCAAACACGGGACAACAAGTTTCCATCCTCCTCAGACGCTAATGGGTCATTTACAACCGAGCTGCAAGAAACCTGCAGGCTTATTTATCACTCATTACTGTCTGCTACCAATTAGTACTACTTACACATTAGTGTAGGTCTGAAACGATTAATCAGATTAATCGACTGAAAGAATGATCAACTAATTTAGTAATTGGTTCATCTGTAACTGGAGTATAGAGTCAAAGAAGGCCATCTTCTAAAAATAAAACATATTCAGAGGAGGATTAAAGGCAACAAATATATACTTAAGAGACTGCCTGTAAATATGTTTTAGTCAAAACTCAAAGTGGCAAAGTTTTAGAATTACATTTTAGGAAATAAAATGTTTATTTTCTTATTTTAAAAAGAAACTGATTTATTTATTGATTTGATTTTTTTAATGTGTCCATAATGTTGCATAAAAATCCTTCAGTGGCTGAATAAAATATTTGTAGAATGCACCATTTTTAAAAAACGATTACTCATCAAAATAATGGATGGAATAATCAATAACTAAAACAATCGTTTGCTGCAGCTTTACGCTAATGCAGAGTTAAGTTCACTATTGAGTAGCTGTTCTCAAATAGAGAGTTTATCAGCATATCTTGATCTATAAAATACAGATCTGTGACGCTACAGAAAATAAAAAAGTGTGTAAAGTACAGTTGATGTGATAGTATTAGTGACCAAAATATTGGTTTATGTTGCTGCCAGAATCATCAACAAGTCAAACAAAAAGTGAGCATTAGCAACAGGAACAAGCAGCCATACATGTTTTAGGTTAATGCAACATTACAGCAGGTTTGTTAACCAAGTTAAACCATGTAGCAGTCTGTTGAAGCCGACATGAAAATATCTACACTGAATATGTTTAGTGTAGATATTTTACACTAAAATATCTTTTAGTGTAATCTTTAAGGATGCTCAGGATCCTTAAAGGATCAGAAATTGATCAAAACATTCTTTCTGTAAATATTGACTAAAAATATTTAACTTTGCTAATCTTTCAAAACAGGACAAAAAAACCTCTGATTTGTTCTATAATTCAAAGTTTAGTGGAAGCACATTTAGAAGCTAATTCACAGAAATACTTCTGTCCTAATCAGTTTCCCGCATTATGAACTTTAACCTGTTAACACTGGTTCAGTTCGTCGCCGTTTGGCAGACGGGTTCGTGAACAATCAGATCAAGGTCTGAACTTTGAACTGTTGCAACACCCAGATTATCGTACATTTTTTTCTCAGACATTTTGTTCTACATTTGCTGATGATAGCGGGATCATCGTCATTATAAATGACTTAACAGCTGGAAAAACAGTGAAAATGTAGGAAAACGGGTCTGAATCACACACCTCCCATGTGAGCAGTGGAAATAATCAGATCTGTGTTTTTCTTTCTCTTCTAAGAACAGCTGAAAAGCATGTGAGGACTGACGTGGATTTCCACCACTACAGCAAATTATTGCATACTTCTTTACAAAGTGGATAAAAAACTAAACAAAAACAAAACTTAGAGATTGAGGACATGTTTGTCATCTGTTGCAAAGTGTTTCACCTCTTAGTTTCATCACTGATATTCAGACAAACAAGTTAAACCATCGAGGCAGAGTTAAAATTAATAGCTGTGTTTAGGTGACAATTGTCATAAAGACCTTTGTTGACAATAAAATATACACTAAATGTTAAAACTTACTAATATTACTGATTAAAAGTGTAATTCTACACATGTAACATACTCTGAAGATGTAGTCTAAGTAAAATGTTACTCAAAATAAACATTTTTAAATCACTTTAATGAGATTAATTAGTACTAAGATCAGTAGGCTACTCATATTAGCAAGTAGTTAACTGTGGGTTACTCGGGTGCTTCCTTATAGGAGAAATGTTCAAACAAAAGATGACCTTAAATAAAGATTAATCAAATTATTTTAGAAATTTAAAAAAGCCTAAGCACAATATTTTTGTTTCACCCAGTCTCATAGTTAAGTATAATCTGAGCTAATCTAGTCAACAATTTAGGCAAAGTAACAAACAGCTTAAACATTCAATAAAGCTATTTACTTAGCCAATTCTCTTCTACAAACACAATGATCTTCTATGATGCATTTCAAACAACCTGAAGGAACGAGGAAACTGATAAAATTAGAAAAAAGGCAATTAACTACAGCTAAATTCCCAGTTAGAGGGCAGGGTGTTCACAGAGACAGCATAAGACAACAGGAAACTAAAAGCCTAAAGCGAAGCAGCACGGCCAACAGGAAGCTTCTTTGTGGAGTTTTACAGTAAAACACATCCGACTGATTTCCTTAAACCGTAAAGATGTTAAAAAGAAGATCATTAGGGAGGAACTTCCTCATTCTGCTTCTATGTTAAACTAACTTTTACGTCTCATTTAAAGTTTCAGCTACAGAAAAATGTTGATAATTTCTGCTGTTTTTTTCACCCAACAATCTTTTTCAGCTTACAAATTAAAGTTGATAAACAGTTTGCATGATTTTTGCTCTACATAGACATTTTCAGCATTTTTAAGTATTTTTCTTTTAGACTTTTAGTGGACAAAAAAAAAAAAAAAACACATAATAAGTTACTATAATGGAAAAAGAAATTGGAGAGCATTTAAAAGAGACCAGTCCCAGACCAGACAAAAGTTTTCTGCAGATTTGTGAATCAATAAAATTGATGCACCAAAGCACATTTGTCAACACATTTGTAGAGAAGAAAAACTTTGTTTTTCTGTATAATAACCAACATTAAACAGCTGCCCGTCACTTCTAACACTAATATCACATGTTTAAAAAGTCAAAGATCATTTTATTCATGGACCCACAAGAAAAAGAAGGGATGTTTATTTTTTTACGAAAGCTTTTCTAATAGGTAATCAAGGCAACAGAGATAGCAGGATCAATTTGGAGGCATTGCAGAGTGGCCTGCACCATCTCCAGTACATTTGTCTCCTAAGCATCGAGTTGCTTCAAATGTATTCATAGAACATAAATCAACTCAATGTCTAAACATGCTGGGCAATGGACAGAAATAATCCAAGTGCTGTTTAAAGTGATATAAATTGCTTGAAGAAGTAATTAATGAAATTGCTCTATTCATTTTCTCACAAGCTGTTTAAAATAACTGCAAATCAACAAATTTAAATTATCATGTGATGACTAATATTGGAGATTTTATTCAGCTGGAGTCTCCATTGTGTCTAGAGGCTCCTTATTCAATCCCAGTTACCAAATACAACCTCTGTCTATCTCGTCACATTGGACTTTCCAGATTAGCTTCTCTGTTGTGTAAAGGGGTGTTCATAATCTGATCAGTTTTAATAGGCTCCAGCCTGAGAAATAAAACCGAAACCAAATTCCCCCCCCGTTATGTACTTACACGAATTTCACTTGAAAATAATTAAATGGCAAAAAGTTGTATTTAACTTAAAATTCTGTATGCATGTGCACAGTGAGCAATTTGATTTCAAGCAGGCTTTAGAGAGGCTGATATAAGATTTAAACTGGAGATGGAACAAAAACATTACATACATGTTGGAGGACAGACATTTAGTGACTGCTAATGATAATTTAAGGTCATAAACTACAACAATTAGCATTTTTACCGCATACTAGTGGTTAAAATTGCTTTTAAAAACACACATTTCTTCTCTTGTGTTTCGTTTTATGCGTCATACGGTTAGCTGACCTCTGTTAGCAAGGTTGCATCGGTTAGCTTAGAAGCTAACTAACAACTAAGCAGGCTTGTTTTGCGGCCTACACTGACTCCAGCTTTACGCAACCGGGGGGACTGCGCACAGCGTGACATAACGAACTCCCCCAAAAGTTTCAAGATACACTATATTTTGTAAATAATTGTTGTGGTACCTTGACGCAGTCGACGGGATACATAAGACAGTGCTCCATGATTCCAGCCACAGCTCCAGCCAGCATGTGTGTGCTGCTAGCTGCTCCTTGAGGCAGTCCTTCATAGTCTACTTCTGGCTCCACGGACGCCGAGGGCTCGGGAGTTGCTCGGTGCAGCATGGAGACAAAATCCGGCTCCCCCGTCATTCTCGGCGTAAAGGACCCGACAAAGCCCCCCGTGGCATCCAAGACGCTGTTGCCAAGAATCCCAAATCCCGTCGCGGCTATAGTGCCCGTGACCCGCCTTTCAACAGCCGGCGATTCCAGGGTCGAGGAGGGGACAAACCCGTCCGCTTCCATTACGCAGGCGAACCTGTTAAGTCCGTTAGATGTGTTTGTTCCGAGAACACCGGAGGGCCTACTGTTGATGTAATGTTCCCGGTTGTTCACCTCCGCGTGCCCCCCCGGCCGGCGGTTAAGGCAGACACTTGGCGGCAGCTGAAAAGATCCGGGAATTAGAATGTTGATGGGCGAGGCCAGCCCCGGAAATGAATCTTATTGGATAAGCTTGCTGTCAAGATTTACATAACTCAATTCGATTGGGTAAATAGGCGGGGCTTTAAAAAGTGGGCGTTGACGGTTTTGTAACAGTGGGATGTCACGGTTTTTGGATGTCCCATATAATAAGTTGCCGGAGCAGAACGATGAAAACATCTTCAAGAATATAGCATGTAAAATTATTCCAAACAGAATAACTACTTAATAGAAAAATGAATAAAATAATTTCACGTACACAAATAAAATTATTTTACTTTTATGTAGACAATTTCTCTAACCTGGATTGCTATTATGTCCTGTTCATTGCTCAGTGGCGCACTGCCTCTGTTGCTGAAGCACATGATCATACAACTTGTATTTCAAAATCTAAATAACAGTACCATTAACCGCTATGTCATTTATCTTGTAGACTGGAGTTATTTAAAGACAAAAGGCAGACCATTTGGCCTTGGGCTTCTTTCTGACGAGCCATTAGCTTTAGCATCTGTGATCAAATAATCTGCATTTATACGTATTGATGATCTTAAGAGAGTTATCCACAGCAGATAGGATACTACCTGCTTATAACCTTTTAGCAGAGTTTCACTCCAAAAATTATGATCTATTCCTTTAATAACGAGTGTTGTTTAGGGACCAAGAGAGATCGTGAGTGATATCGATTGCCGACCAAAACACAGACAAATCCACAGCTAAAAATTCCACAGTTAAAAACATAAATATAATATTATGCTAAAATGAAAAAATAAAATACTTTAACAAAAGCAATACGCGGAAATACAGTAAAAAGAATCCTTTCATATCCTCAGTCATGAATATTACTGCAGTACCTGAAGGCACCACAAGGATTGGATGACGTCGCCAACGGGTTGCCTGTCACCGGAAGCTCCGTACATAATCGGTCATTTCCTCCTACTCTCTTCATCGTGTTCCTTTAAAACCGTCTCCGAGAAGGAAGAGGGTTGAATTTTACCGTTTGTAATCCCATTCTGGAACATGCGGCATATTTTATTGCTGGAATTGACTATCACTGGCAAGAGGAGGCTCCTTTAGGTAGGTTAATACCACTGTTACCGATAGCATACGGACACCGTTCACAACAGTTGCTTATAAACGCACTGCTAGCCGGCAGGGATGTTATTCAGTTTATAAAGCTATACAAGTATAAACGAGTGATTAAGTTCTACTTTCTCCCGTTTTAATTGGCTTCGATCCGTTTTGACTGACACCTGTTTTGCCTTCATGCAACAGTTGTAGCTTAGTAACCACGATATAAGGCGTCTTTATGAGGCCCTATACTAAAGAAAGCAGAGCTAATACTACAATAGCAACACTCTAATAAAGCCATGCTGCGCTAACACAAACAGAAATTACTGTCAGCACGCATGGAGCTTATTTTGGGAGTTAATAACATGATTTTGTTAGAGAATTGAACAGTTAGTATTTGATTTGACTAATAAATGAAACGTGTCACAGTTTAGAATGTACTTTGTTCAGTCAGGTATGTCTATACTGTGCTTTATAAAGATATTCATAACCCTTTAACTCTACGTTTTGTTATGTAACAGTGCCATTTATTATTATAAGATGTTTCCAAATCATAATAAGTAAAACGTGTGATGTGAATTTGAAAATAAATATTCCAGTGGCCATCGGAAATCACCTAAATAAATTTTATCTGTACACAAATATCTGTATAAATCCAGGTCTCAGAGGTTTGTTTGACACCATTAATTTAAACAGCATCTTGAAGACCAAGAAACACAGCAGAGTTCAAGGAGAAAATTGATCAACATATTCTGTATTTATTTATTCTGCATAAAAAAATCTCCCAGATGTTCAGGTTTCTATTTAATTTAAATTTTATTTTATGTTCGGTATGTCATTAATACACAGTTGTTTTATATTGTTTTTTACATGTTTATTTTCAGTGGTGTAAGTTTAGTGGGATTAATGAGAGACTATTGTATTCGACTAAAGCAGCGTTTGAACATCTTCCCATTTAAACTGGGAGAATTAATCGGAGAAAAAAACCAATAGGATAACTATTAATCTTTATAGGAGGGTGGAAAAATGAAGCAGTTAATAAGAAGTCAAAAATGCATAAAAATATTTTAAGGTTTGCCACAGGCTATGCAGAAGAGTGTTTCCCAACCCTGGTCCTCAGGCAGACTGACCTGCATGTTTTAGATGTTTACCTGCTTTAACACACCTGGTTGCAGCCTAAAACATACAGCACAGTGTGTCTTGAGGACCAGGGTTGACTAGCACTTCTGTAGACACAGCTGACATGTCTAACAGGCTCTGGTCAGGTTGGTTTACATGTGTGAAGGAAAAGTAGCCGCACAGATCACCCATAACTCTGCAGTTCCATGATAAAACGTGAAGGTGGTTGTCGTATCATGTTACAAAGATGGAGCAGAGACAGAAAAGCTGATCAGAGTTGTAGTGAAACACTGGGCAGACCTGGAAGAAAACCTGTTAGAGGCGAATAAATACCTCAAACAGCAGGACAACAAATACACCGAGAGGTTCAGTGGCATGGTTCAGACGGCATTTTTAAGTTTTAGAATATCACAAAGTCCTAAAAACCCAGTCCCTAGATCTGCAAAGCAGTTACTTGTATGTTAGTATACTTGAAATTAAGATGTTCACAGAACAGGTTAGACCAGAAATTCTTAAGATTCTGAGTTTTTGCAGTGAATATGGGTAAACTACATAAAATCCTATTAAAATGTGTCAGATTAATTTGCCATATCTGAAACAAAACAGCCTGGTAGATGTTTTTTTTTCTTTTTGCACTTTGTTTTTGTAGTGTAGGCCATATTTTAGGAACTGGCTACTGGAATTGATCAATTATGCAAATCTGGGAGAGACATATTCAGTTAGGCCTGTCACAATAACAAGTTTTGTGAGATGATAAATTGTCCCAGAAATGATTGCGATAAATTAAGATAATATTGTTGCTTTGAGACCATCTTAAAGGAATACATAGTGGCACAATAATGCAGGTTTGGCTTTTCAAAGAACAATAAGTAAGGAACACTTCACTCTGTTGTAATGTGACAGCATCTGAAAAAGCTCAGGGTATGAATACTTCTGAGCTTTGCATTTATTAAGCTTTGTATAGTTTATAGATAAGCCATGATGGTAGAAAGGAGACACGTCTCAGTGCTGAACAAGATTTCATAAAGTGAACATAACAAAGAGTTCTGGCTTTCTTGTCTGTTTTCAGTTTATTTGCATTCAGATTCAACTTCATGAGGTGAATACGTTCTTAGTCGAGTCTTGTTTTTCTTTCCTCAACAGGATCCCGGTCCAACTGCAGCCGCCATGAGGTGACGATTGTGACATCTTGTGCTTCACCTCACTGGGACACATGGCAAGGTAATAAACTGATAAGTTTTGAGGTGTGGTGTGTATATTTTCCTTTTATAATTCGGCTGAAGCTCAGTTTTTGCTGGTTTCCGTCTCTGCAGGATCACGCTGTCCTGCTTGCCAGCCTCCTGGTACTGCAGCGTGTCCTTGCTGTCTCTGAACTGTGCTACCAAGCAGAGGCTTCTCTTCCTGCTGCTGCTGTTCATCACCTCCGTTCTCCTGCTGGCGACCTACCAGAGGCAGCTGTGGGGCCCCCAGCGCCGGCCAGGGGCCCGAGTCAACAAGTGAGTGGAAAATGTGGAATTAAAGAGATGAGGGAACTGAAGAAGTGCTGCCTTTGAGTTCTGCTCTCGGTAGGAAATTTTAGCTTTTGAGTGGTTTCTGAAATCTGCATTCGACTGAAAGGTGTATGTTTACATGTTCCTGTTATTTAGGCTTTTCTAGTATATATGTGCACCTGCAGAGTGAGAGAATTTAAGTTTTGTTAGTTTATCAGCCCGTTTTTGTTTGAGTGGCGATAAAAAGCAGAAGCATCTGTTTGTTTCTCATCATTCTGCATAAATAGATTACTTCCAGTACCTCAGATGTCCCACATCTGCTGTTTTCTCACTCTGTGTACAGAATGTTCAGAAAAGAAACATTCACATAAGAGTTGAGCAACTGGACTTCAGAAAGAGTTGAAATACACTTGGACTGAAACGATTAATTCAATTAATCGCAATGAGTGTATTATTGAAATAATCGTCAACCAATTTAGTAATTGATTAATTGTTATCTGGAGTATGCAGACTTAAAAAAAGCAATTTGCTCAAAGAGCAAAAACCTCATAGCAGTAATTATGTATACATTTTGCATTGAAGATTAATAAAAACCCAGAACTTCCTAAATGGCATAGTCTTAACTTCACTCGGTTCAAATTCTGTAAAAACAAAATGATCTCCTATTAAGCAATTTTTTCTATCCAATTATTAATCAGTTAATCTAAAAATAATCAACTGATGTTGTTGGTGGTCAGTCAAGCAGCAAAGGCTGAACTTTTCACATAATGTTAGTATTTTTTAATCCTTTTCTACAAATGATCAAGCGTTCATTAAAGGAGTCCTGCTATTGCATTTAAGGCAATAACGTGTTTATTTTCTGATTTAAAAAGGAATTCAATTATTAATTTATAGGAATATTTTAATGTTGTTCTAATACTGAATTAAAAAGTCTAATTGGTGAATAAGAAATCTAATGTGTTTTTTTATTAGATTGTCAAAATAGTCGATTTATTACAATAATTTAATAGTTTCAGCCCTGAAATAGATATAATGTCTGCACTGCAAAACAAAATCTTACCAAGTATTTTTGGTCTATTTTCTTTATGCAAATATCTTAGTAAACTTAAAATGAGACAAATCTTTTTAGTGTGATATAGAAGCTTATTTTACGTAAATAATTCCCTAATACTGATGAAAAAGTTCTAGTTCCATTAGCAGATTATTTAACTTATAACAAGTCATCTTATAAGTTAATTTAATTTATGAGTTAATAATTTTTCCATCAATATTAAGGAATTATTAACTTAAAATAAGCCTCTGTATCTTGCTGA